AAAATTTATTAATTAATTAATAAATAAAGAAAGCTTTAAAAAACATAAAAAAAATGAATAAAATTAAATTATTATAAATAATATTAAATTTTAAAAGTTAAAAATTATTAAAGAAATTGATAATGCTTTACTAAGCATTATGTATTATAATTTAATTTTTACAATTATAGAAAATTCAATTTTTGTTAAATTTCTTAAAACTTTATATATTAAATATAATTACTATTTAGATAAAAATTATCAATATAATTATTAGAAAGAATAATATAATGATAAAAGTTAATTTGAAGATTAAAAATCTTTAAAAGATTTATCAAATTTAACTTTAGCATTAGATGAATAAACTTTACCAACAGGATGTTCATATGAGGCCTTTGCAATAGAAAAGGAGGAAACTCAAAAAAAAAATAAAAAATGAGTTAATAATAAATCTGAACAAATTATAGTATTTAGAATATTTTTGACTTATAAACTAAAATTTTAATTTTTTTTGGAGTTTCCTCCCTTTCTATTGCAAAGATCCCATATTAGAATTTTGTAGTTTTAACATTAAATAGACAAGAATTTTTATATAAAATTTGTAATTTAACTGAGAAAAGATATACTAAAATTTTTTTTATAAAAGAAATTCTTAAAGTTATAAATTTAATTATAATTAATAAATTTGCCATTATAATTATAGATAATAGAGAAAAGGTTATAATAGCATATAAATTAATTAATAATCAATTTTATAAAATATCTATTTAATTAAAAATATTTGTGTATAATTATCACGTTTAGATTATCTGTATAAATAATAATGATTAATTGTATAATATTACATAAATTTCAAAAATAAATGTTTGTATAATTGTTTTTGAGACTTGAATTCAAAATTTGCTAGAAGATAAAATTTTCTTTTTTGAAATTTGTGTAATATTACATGATTCTTCCTGATGTAAAGCAACAGGTTTCAGCTAGTTTAATATTAAATATATTACATATATATTATATTAATCTTATATTATATGATTTTTTAAAATATAATTTTGCTGAACGAATAATTAAATATTATAATATATAAGTAAGATTTTTTATAAATTCTTATATTTATAATAATCTACTTTAAAAACTTATTTTAAAATATAAAATAATTGGAGAAAATCTAAACTTATATTAAAATAAAATAGATTTCTGTTACAGAATGTACAAATTTAATTTTACATTTTAAATATTTATAGAAATAAGTAATAATAATCTTATATAATAAAAAAATATTTGTGTAATAGTAACATTTAGAATACATGTATAAATAAATGATTAATTATAATATAATATTATACATATTTTTAAAAAAGAAATTTTATTTCTAATAAAATTATAAATTTGTATTTCAAAATTAGTTATATAAGTTTCTTTTAAATATTTATATAATATCATATAATATATCCTATTATAAAATAATGAGTTAGCAGTTAGTTTAATTAAAAATTAAAATTATTTAAGTTAATATTTTTTTTATAATATATTTATGAAAATCATCTAAATAATATTAAAGATATCATGTAAATTTTTTAGATTTATTAATTACTAGTTTATATATATATAAAGAAAAAAATCTTAATTCTGAAGTATAAAAAATATATAATAAAGATGATGATATTTTTGAAAAATAGTTATACATAAATACTAAAGATTATTTATTATAGTTTATAATATCTTATAAAGTATTTAAATAAAAAGTAAGTATAAATATTAATGATAATGATAAAATAATTAGTACTGTATTTTATGTAAAAAATTATAAAGCTATAGAATATAGAAATAAAGATTTATTTATAAAATTAGTATAGTTAAAGAAGGATATTTTATTTATCCTAAATTTGATGTTATAATTAAAATGACATCAAATTCTATATGATATTAATAAATACAAGCTATATATAGTACAGCTAAATTTAATTAAATGAAGATGATATTTATTATACTAATATAATTAATTTAGCAGAAAAAACTACATAAGCAATAGAAAAAAAAGCAAGTATTATATAAAAAATTAGATTTTTTATAATAATCTTTTATTTATTTTGACAAGATTATTTTTATATTATTTTTATATTTTTTTATATAAATAATAAATATAATAATTTAAATTTATTTTTAAATCAAATAAAAACTTTTAAAAAATATTAAAATTATTAATTTTAATTATTTTCTATTTTAATTATTATAATGTATTTCAACTATTATAATACATTTTGACTATCATAATATATTTTAACCATTATAATAAATTTTGACCATTATAATGCATTTTAATTATTATAATATATTTTGACTATTATAATAAATTTCAATTTTATGATTTTTTTAACAAAAAGTCAAAATTTATTAGTTATATCAACTATTCAAAATAGTATTGCTTAGTATCTGTAAACTTAAATGATAAATTTTTAATTCAATTTATCAAATTAAATATAAGACAATATCATAATCATGCCTATATGAAGATATAATAAAAGGTAATAGTAAATGAATTTAAAAATTCCTTTATTAAATCTTAGTTTATTTCTAAAATCTTAACTTGAGTTACTTTTCAATTTAAAAGAAAATACAAAATATTTAGATAAAATAAAATACTATAAAATATATAATAACAAATATAATATAAAAGATAAAATAAATAAATAAAATAAATATAACTACTCTACTAACTATAATATAATTAACAAATATAATAAATGTAAATAATATAATTAATCTATCTAATAAATTAAATAAATCAATAATGACTATTTTAGCGATTTAGTCTAATTTATTTACTTTGTTAACTTTGTTAATCATTTTAATCACATGAGTCATTGAGATACAGTTATGGATCATGGCTTTAATAGTTCAAATTAAATAATTTCAATTTCATATATAATCATATAAGTTATAATTATTTATAAAAGTTGTAATTATAATTAAATTTACAATTATTATAAAGTTACAATAATTATAAATTACAATTATTTTAATTTTAAATCAGTTGCAGCTATAATTAAATTTTAAAAATTTGCAATTAGCAATTATAATTTTTAAGTTACAATTTTTTAATTATAATACTATCTTTATATAATATTATAAATAGTAATTTATTTTTTTAATTTATAATTATTTATTTATCTTTAATTTTTTTAGTATTTTTATTATAAATTTTCATTTTAATTTTTAATTTTATAAAAATATTTTATAAATTTCAATTAAATTTATTAATAATAATAAAGAAACATTATATAATATAATATTATTAATATATATATATAAAATAATTTATATTATAAAAAATAATTATTTTAATATATATAAAAATTAGAGTAAATTTATTCATCGTAAAGGCGATACTCCTTATACATTGCTTTTATATATATATTTTACTCTAATACTAACATAACTCTAACCTAACTATAAACTATGTGACACTAACATATGTGACAAATAGGATTTCACACATGAAAAAATTTTTAAGTTTCTAGAATATATCTGAAAAATGAAAAAGGGAGGAAGTGTGATATAGGTGACAAAAGGAGGTAATAATATCATGCTTGCAATTAATAAATTTACTCTAAAAATTAAATAATTGAAAAAAATTTTATTTTTTTTTATTTTATTATAAATTTTTTAATTTATAAATTGAATTAAAAAATTTGTAAAGAAATTTTTTAATTTTATCTTAAAAATATTAAAATATTTAAATTTTAAAATTTATTAAAAAAATTTGATAAAAAAATTTGATGAAATAAATACTAAATTAAAAAAAAAATTAATATTTTTAATTTTGATTAAATTTATAATTAAATATTTAATAATAAATTAAAATTATTTTAAAATATTATAGAATTTCTGTTAAAATTTAAAGAAAAATATAATTAATACAGATCTAAAATGCTATTAATATTTTATTAAATATTTTAAATACTTAATAAATAATCTAAAAATTAATTAAATATTTAATAATTCTTTTTAAAATATTAAATTGTATAATATTAAAAAATCTTTTAAATAATATTTAAAATTTATTAATATAAAAAATTATAAACTTTAAATAAAATATACAATTAGTATATTAAAAGGATTTACTATATTAAATTTAATAATAAAAAAGATTTTGATAATATTTTTTATAAAAATTAATTTTAAATATATGTTTTATTAGCTTTTAAATTTAAAATAAAATATATAATAATAAGCGATTGATAAATAATCTCAATTTTAATCTAAAATTAATTTCTAATTTTTAATATCCTAACTTTTCAAATATAAAATAAACTTTATAATTTAATAAATAATACATTTATTAAATTATAAATTTTTTTTTTAAATTTTTTTTTTTATTTTTATTTTTATTAAATCTCTTTTTTTTTTATTTTTTAAAAAATATGCTTAAATTTGAATATAATACAATTTTATTTTAAAATTATTTTGATAAATTTTAATTAATTATTGATAAGTATTGTAAATAAATTATTTATTTAGATTTTTATCAATTACTAGAATAATTTTATTTTATCTAAAGATTTTGATTTGTTTTTATAAAAAATTTTAATTTTTTTAAATTTGAATTTTTTTTTCTATAATTATATTTGTTACTAATACTATATGGGTATGGGATAAATTTCCAATTCCATCACATTTCAAATTAGCCAAAACTTTATAAACTATATGTCATCTTGATGAGATGATTCAAATGATTATAATTTTATTTTTTTAAGTAAACATTGATCGTTCTATATAGTATAACTATAACCCAAATAAACCTTATCAGAAAGTCCAAAATTAAGGTGATTAAGCTCCCAGACTGGCTCAAATCGAAACAAATGAATCTGATAAGATTCTAGACCACATCTGAAATTTTACATGAGCTTCTGATGGATGACTACCAAGTCCTTGACATTTGAGTGGGTGATAAAAGAAGTACATGATCGCTGACAGTAGCTATGATATTTAAAACCAAGCAATTCTAACCATCCTTGATACTAAGCAGTTGTCATTCTAATTTTTCCATCTTTAAGAAGCGCATCCAGAAGACTGTCAGCTTGCAGCTTACGGTATTCCTTGAATAATTCTTTAAGGTTATAAAGATAAAGAGCATTATTAATAATAGGATGGATCAACTAGCCAACCGAGCTCAACGGATGTATTTGACGCAAGTAAGTTTTTTTGAATTTGGAATCTGTTCGTTTTGAGTTTCGTGCTTTTATGTCATCAATCTCCACGACAATCGTAGGGCTGAATGGTGAACCTTGATTCGTGGTCTTTCAGAACCTTAATACGTGGTTCTTCAGAACCATAATACATGGTTCTTCAGAACCATAATACGTGGTTCTTCAGAACCTTAATTCGTGGTTCTTCAGAACCTTAATTCGTGGTTCTTCAGAACCTTAATACATGGTTCTTCAAAATCTCGAGGCAGTGTGATGTATCCCAAGAATTTAGAGAATGTCCCATGACTACACTGGTTGGAGGTGTTATAGGCACCTTAAAAGCTTGGTGTCTACAACCGATCACTTTAAAGGAAAGAGAGATGTCTACCCAATTGAGATATCTCATTAATGTGGCTTTCTTGAATTTCTTTGAGACTTTGACAGTAATAATGTAATGAAGGAAATACATCAAAGTTGTGAAATTATGCTGTAAAGGGCTGAGTTGACAACCTATTGCTCCACTTCACATACACTATAATCGTCCAGATCTATTTTCGGTATCTACTAGTCTAGTCTTTTAATTTGAAAAAAAAACGTTAGCATAAATGACAAGTAGGACTTTCTACCGCACATCACGGAGCTGAAGTCAGGACACTCTTCTCAATACACACAACACAAAGGCGTAGAACACTTTGAAGCTGAAGAGAAAATACTGACCTTTTAGATTTTTGTTGAGTATAGTAATGAAAACTTTGATTCGAGAAATTTCACTTGAAAAAATTTTCTCAACTCCAATATTCTGAGGGAAAAAAAAATGTTTAAAAATAAAATATGTTGGAGCTTTGAATACAACGTATGGATTGAATAAAAATTTTTTTACCGGGAAATCTTAAAGTGATATATTTTTTTTTTGGTCGTAACAATATAAATTCAAGGCACGTGATATTCGACCTATCACATGATTTCGTGTAATTTTGACGATTACTACGGGAAAAAGTTTGATTTCTCAAAAAATGGTCGGATCGGGACTACATTTTAAACTTTGCATTCTGAAATCCTCAAAATTTTATGATGTAAAGTTTTCAATACTAAAAGTTCTTAAAAATATAAGAAAAAATTTTGACAATAAACAAGATCTTGTGCTTAAATACTTTGATACCAACAACAAAATTATTTTATTAATTATCGCATAAACTTTTTGATTACAACTATCTATTTTACACTAGATTTTGTCTATTGTTTATAATAATGTAAGATATATTAGAACCTTAGTGACAAAATTAGTCTTTTGGCGCATCCATCAAAGTCTTTACAAGTTTATTCAAAAGTTCGTACTTTTTATTTCTATATATATCACGCAATTTTAAAACTATATTGAGTATATAATTGGTATAATGCAATGTTTCATTAAGACATAAAAACCTGCTATCATCGCACCTTACAATATCCGATAGTGTTGTCAATTAAAATCTTGTGACACGATCGGTAATTTTTTGGTTGTGATGATATTCTACCAAGTTATCGCTCGGATAAAAACCAAAGTACTCCTTACTCAAATGAATTATTCATTCAGTCTTACAAAAATTCCAAATTGGTTATCAAAGAATCTTTTTAATTAAAATTTGCCATTCATTTACACGTAACAATAAATAATTTGTGAATTATCGAGACGATTGACTGCACCTATTATTTTATTCGGTAATACAAACAAAAAAAATAAAAAATAAAAATAAAATAAATAGAGCACATTTCCTCATCTCTCTTTTTTTAAATATAAATTTATCATAACTATTAATTTTTACTTTTGTATAAAATTTATTGGAGATTCGCCATTCATTTATTATATATACATATAATTAATGATTCAGTTTTGATTATTTTTAATTGTTTAAATATTATTTATTAATACGATAATATAATTAACATACAAAGATGGAAATATCTGATCGGCGGGCCTATTTTTCATGTATAACCTATTCTTTATTTTATTACCCTAGACTACTTAAAAAAATTAATATATTTTATTAAATTTTTTTATAGTTCTAAATTTATTAAAATTAATTTGATTATAGTGTTACATTTAATATAGATTAAGAAACAAGATAAATTATCATCGCAGTCTTTTTTTTTTGAACAATTCGTTAGGGTCAATTCGTTAGGGTACCAAATTTGTTCTAATTAAAATTTAATGTATACTGAATATAATGGGATTTGGAGTTCTTTGAATAACACCTTTGCGATAACATCTACTTCGTTTATTTTTAATGTCCGATTTTTCTTATTTTTTTTGTAATTTTGTATTTTGCGTAGTTTTAATTAATTAACATTTTAGTGATTTGAGTTAAATAAAATGAAATTGCGGAAGTGTAGAGCGCCGACGTTGAGGCAACACTGATTAATTGATTTTATTAAATACATTTAACATCATAATTACTTCATTATTACAAATACAAATTATTTATAAATAATACTGAATACAACAAAGTATAAATAAATTAGAACAACTCCATTTTCAGAAACAATAACTAGGACGTATAAATAAATGTATTTTTTGTCAAATAAATCTTTATTAATTTTTTATAAACTTTAAATTTTTATCTCGTTCGTTTAAACGTTAAAGGATTTTTTTATAAAATGAGTCAAGGAAAATCATTTGAACGAGGAACTTCCTTAGAAGTTGATTTTAGACGATTAATCAATGATCAAAGATTTTTTGACATTACTTTAAAATGTTCGGATGAAAAGAAATTATCTGCTTGTAAAGCTATTTTAACAGCTCGTTCTGACGTTTTCAACTCTCTAATTTTTACCGTATCAAGAAGTCATAATGAACTTTCATTTAGTAATATTAATTCAGATGCTATGAAAGTGATATTAGAATATTTGTATACGTCCAAGGTTCAAGAGAAAAACTTAACGATTAGTAATGTTGTGGAAGTTTATTATGCTTCCATTTATTTTAAGTTGAAAGTTCTTCAGCAACATATTATTGACTGTACCAAGGAGTTTTTAAAAGGTGGACCAAATATTTCCAAAAACCTCGTATCACAATTCGTTGAGAAATTCACCTCAGGGGTGGATAATGAAATGTCACAGATATTGATAGTCTGGGTATCCAAGAATAAATTGGAAAGTTTTGAAAATAATGAAAAAGATCCGTTATCATTAGAAGGGTTGAAGCATCTTTTGATGAAAACTCTTGATACCAAAGCACCGTTTGCTACTTCAGAGTTTGATATTTGGAAATATGCTTTAAAAAAAGTTATAAGTATTGTTACACATGATAGGAAAACTGAACTTTCAAAGTGTGATGCCGATGAATTTAATGAAGTAAAGACTCATTTAACCCCTTTTACCTATTATATTGATTTAAATCGAATGGATGTGGACGAAATTATGAAATACATTGAACCTGTAAATATTTTTTCAATTGAAAAACTCAAGGATATTTATTGCTCCAAAGCAAGGGACAAGGAATTACCAAATATTCGTGGAATACCTGTTTTTAAATGGAAAAATAGTGAATCTGAGAAGCAATTGATTGTTTCTAATGATGGATATACTGTTGGGATGAAACCCAACAATTCAAACATAAATCTATATTGGGTGATATGGTTTTTAAAAATATTGGAAAATATGAATGGAAAATCGTAATTGAAAATTTGTGTGGAATAGTTTATATTGGAATATGTGGTGATGAGAATTTAAGTACAACTGAACAAAATTACCATGGGTGGGTCCTTGGATCTGATGGTTACGTTTATCGTAAAAACAGATGGAAATGGTATGATGCAGAGATGAAAGTAGGGAACCATGTTACAATTTTTCTGGATATAAGCACAGTTGATAAAAGGAGGAAATGCAAATGCTCATTTTCTATCAATGGAAAGGCTAGAAAGCCTGTAGTTTCCGGATACGGATGGGATGATATTCCTTCTCAAGTTTATCCTGTTGTTTCTTTAGGTTGTGGTAGTGATTTGCGTATAGAACCTGTATCAACACGTATATAAAAAAATTCAGCTTTTAATGCAACATTTTTAGATCAACTGATAATGTTTAGAAAGAATAAAAAGCTAATAAATGATAATTTGTTCACGTGAGCCAACAGGAGAATTAAATTTACCCAGTATTATAAGTAAATTTTTACCTTGTGAAATAATTTTTCCCATTAAAAAAATTCTATCCCGACTATAGTAAAATGGAAAAAAAATATTTAAAATCTTTGGCGATTTAAATCATGTGATATCTCCTCTATATACTAGAATTAATTCAGTAATTATTTATAGGCGTAAAGACCAGTAGTATTAATTATATAGTATAACTATTTAAAGATCTAACAATATCAAAATATCAAAACTTTTATAATTAATTTATTACAATCCATTTACAATATAATTAAAAAGATTTTTTTTTAATCAAAAAATATTTATATATCCTATTATTTTAAACTTTTTAAATTAATCAGTCATATTTTTCTATATACATATTTTTTAATATTCATACTATATATTTTCTTTTATATACATAATTTTTAAACATATAAAATCAAAAGAGAATTTTTTTTTACATACACATTTTTTAAATTTTTACTAATATTCAAAAGATTAATAATTTAGCTTTCTAAAAATATAATTAATACATTATTAATATTAAACTTTTTTAATTAATTTATTTTAAAATTTTTTGATCAAAATAAAAATTATTTAATAATTGTTTAATATAAAGAATTTATCAAACTTTAAATTTTTTATTTTTTAATAAGTTTTTTAATAAATACCAATATAATAAAGAATCACTACTCTTTTAAGTTCTTTGTTTAAAAACTAAAGATTTAATAAGAAAAATTATAAAAGAAAATAAAATATTTCTTTTTATTTAAAAATAATTTTCAGTTTAAAGAAATAAAAAATATTTTAATTTTAAAAAGATTCAAAATATGTTTATTCAATGATCAGTTTAAAAAATTTAAGAAAATTTCTTTTTATTAAAAAAAAAAAATATTTAATTTTAAAAATTAATATATAATTAAATTTATATTATAAATTTTATATAAATATTAAATAAATAAATAAAAAATAAATTAATTTACTTATTATTATAATTATAATTTATTTATTATAATTTTTAATTAAAATTATTAGATTTTAAAATACTTTATTATTAAAAAAATTAAAAAATTAAAAATTTGCTAAATATTTTAAAGTAATAGTTAAAAATAATAAAATAACTTTATATTTTTTTATTAAAAATTTTAATTTAATTTTATTTTTATTATATATTTTTTTTTAAATAAAATCTCTTGAAGGCATAATTAGTTATTTAATAATAATTATTATTATAAAAATAAAAAAATATTTCTAATATAAGATATATTATATATAATTACTTTTTATAAGTATAAATTTTATTTATTCATAATTTTATTATATTAAAATTTTAATAAGAAAATTACTTCTATATAATTATAATATAATTATAATTATTATTAGATAATGAAAATTGTTAAAATATTTAAAATGTTTAAATTATTTGATTAACTATACTTAAAAATATTATATAAATTATTAATTTAATCAACTATAATATAATATATATTAGTAAATTATATATAAAAATAGATACTATTTATATAATTTTAGAATAGTTAGATAAAACCTAAAGATTTTATAAGTTGTCTAAATGATAAAAGGTAAAATTTAACAAAATTTTATTAAAAATTTGGAAAAAGGTAAACTATATTAAAGTTTATAAAAATGCGAAATTATATTAACTAAAATAAATAATTTAATTTTAATTAAAACTATTACTTTAGATAAATAAAATAAAAATTTAATCATAACAAAAATATCAGTAAAACTATTGTCAAGAAATATAAATTTAAGAGTGTTATAATATGTGATAAGTAAATCATATGAGAGATATATATTATACATAATTTTAAATCTAACTAAAAGTATCTTATGCTTATATTTCAAATAATTACATTTATAAAATGTATATATATATTTCTTTTAGTAAATAATTCTTTTTTTTATAAAGTAAATTTTATAATAAATGATATATTTTTTTTTATTTTTTATTTTATTTTATTTTAATTTCTTAAATTTAGAAATAAAATAGTTTTAATTCAGATTTTAAGAAAAATATTATAATAAAGAATATTTAATTAAGTTTTGTATTATTTTAAACTTTTTTTAATATTTAAATTTTTAAAATAGATTTATTTCTTTTGTTAATTTAAATTTTAAGAAAAGATTATAGTACAGTACGTGACATTTAAAGACTTCAATAAATTTAATAATTTTTAAAAAGTTATAAAAAATGATACAAAAATAATAATAAAAAAAAGAAAGCTACTATTTTGAAGCCAAATTCATTTACTACAAATTGCCAGTCTCCTTTTTTAAAAATAATTACTCATTCCTGACTTATAATGATTTAAAAATGCCTTCATGTCATATGATCAGCATTCAGTGAAACAAGCATATAACTTAAAATTGGCCAATCAAATCACACATAAAATTTTATTAGTTAATAAAATCAGTATTATTAGATGTTTGAAAATGAAAAAATATTATTCCATTTTAAAAAATGCTACAGAGAAAAAAATATTATCTAACTTCAAGAATACAATAAGAGAAGACGATTCTCTTTTGATGAAACGAAAAAAACTGTGACTAACGAAAAGGACACAGTATTTACTGAAAGGAAAAATAAGAAAATTGAAGAAGAGAAAGAGACGTAAACATGTCTACTTGCAGAATTCGTATAGAACAAATCTGAAAAAAATAAAAGAACAATAAAAGGAATACCAAAAATAACCTATTATTGTAAGTTTGATACTTCCAGTGTATTTATCAATGCTTCTAAAAGAATACCTAAAATTACTAGTTTTTGAGATAATAGTGGTTTAGTTAGTGGTTCTTTTGTGTTATTCAAATTTTTAGCATCTTCAAATAGGTGTGTCAGTGAATTTGCTGGCAGTTCTATTTTATTTTCATTCTCATCTCCATCATCTCCACCTTTATCTCCATCTTTATTTTCTTTTTCATCTCCTTCGTCTTCTTCTCTATCTTCTTTTCCATCACTATCACCATCATCTTTTCTTATATTACCTAGGTCTCTGTCAAAAAAAGATGAAGGTTTAATGCTTTGTGAAAGAATTGCGTAACTTTAAAATGACCTTCTTAACAATGGAAAAATGCTTATAGTTTTTGAATATAACAGATAGCGTACTGTCTATGAATATCTTACATGGCTAAATAATGACTATGAAAAAATTAAAGCTAGTGAAGAAGTAATGCAGATAGTTTATATTATTTTAAAGCTATATACCGTTAAATGAATTCATTTTTTGATCAAATTTTACTTGAATCACAAATTGTTTCCAGTTTTATACTGTGGTAAGCACCAAAAGTATGAACGACTTGTTAATAATGAAGATGTTATATTGAGTTTGCAACAATAGTTATGACAAGAATAGGGCTTAAACAGTATTGATATAGCTCATTTTAAGCAGTATATTGAAGATTTTATTTTGTCTGAATATGCAGGAATCTAGAAAACAGTTAGTATAAGAATCACTGAAAGATGGTTATATATATTGGGATATAAATATGAAGATATTGAAAGGGTATTTATCATGATGAATATGAACGGGAGGACATAGTTACATATGGAAAAGAATTCTTGGAAGTAATGAAAGAATTGGAACAATGAATGGCAAGATATAAAGGAGAAGAAATGGATGCAATTCTACTAGTACTTAAATCAGAAGAATAAGAGTTAATTCTTATTACTTATGATGAATGTATTTTCTATACAAATGATGAAAAAAAGAAAATTTGGATACCTGATGGTGAAATGTCATTATGAAAGAAGAAAAATGAAAAGTTGATTATGGTGAGCGAATTTCTTTCAAAAGCTTGTGATTAATTGAAACTTAATGAAGAAGAAGCAACAAGAAATCCAAATATTTCCACAGAAGCTTGTTATTATCTTTTATCTGGTAAGAATCAAGAAGGCTATTAGACCTTTAAGTATTTGTTAGAGCAGATTAAATTCAAAGTGATTCCTATTTTTGAGGCGAAATTTCCTAATACAATAACTGTTTTCACCTTTGACAATAGTACGAACTATGCAGCATATGCTAAAAATGCTCTTATTGCAATAAGGATAAATCTAGGTCCTAGGGGAAAATAACTGATCATAAGATTAACATCTTTTATTGATAAAGATGGACGAGAGATAACTCAGCAAATGGTATTTTCAGAAGATTATTCTGATTCTGCCTTATAAGAAAAACCAAAAGAGATAAAAAGAGTATTATAAGAAAAAGGTTTATGAAGGGAAGGATTAAATTTAGAGTGTTTAATGTGTAAGAAAAAAGAATCTCTAAGAGTTGATTTTTGTACAAGAAAGATTATAGTATCTCAATCAGATTTTGTAGCGCAAAAGTTAGCCATTGTAGAATTAATTGAGAATATAGGTCATTTATATGATTTCTACCTAAAATTCTATTGCGAACTTAATTTCATCAAAATGTACTGAGGTGCAGCCAAGTATTATATAAGGAATAATTGTGATTACACATGGGTGGCTTGCAAGAAACTATTTTGCAAGCACTTGATTTAGTGGATATTACTACAATTAGGAAGTTTGCTCAAAAATTATAAAGATACATGCAATTGTATTACTGAAAAGTTAGCTGAATATGCATATAAAAAATTTAAATCACATAGGCGAATTTCACAAGATGATTTAACTGCATTTATAAAAGAAAAGAGTTGTGAAAAAGAGTACCAAAATTAATAAATTCTGTAATATATATGCATTAATCAAATTTATTAATAAATCATGTGTTAAACTTAATCAATAATAAATCATATGTTAAACTTAATCAATAATAAATCATGCATTATTTAATCAATTAAATTTATTAATAAATCATACATTAAACTTAATCAAACAATAAATCATAGGTTAAACTTAATCAATTAAATTTAATCAATAAATTGTACACTAAACTTAATCATTGAAATTTATCATTAGAAATTTATAATTTCGTTTAACGTATAATATGAATTATATTTACCACGTGATTTATATAGATCACGTGATATGGCTTATAATAGTCACGTGATTTTCTAAAATTTTGGGATCAGGACAAATCATATAATTTCAGTCTTTAAGTATCATGCACTGTATATAAATTAATTTCTTTAATAATAATTTAACTTTCTTATTTAAATGAATATTATGTTAAAGAAATTTTTATTAATTTTTAAGAATAAGATTAATTTTCTTAAAATTTTAAAATAAATGTTATAATAGAAAAGGTTTATTAGAATTTTTTTATTAATTTTTAAATTTTTAAGAATAAAATAAATATATAAATATATAAAAAATATTTAAATCTATTTATTTTAATATAAATATAAATAATAAATTTGACTTATAAATTTATATATAATGATATAATTTGTATATAAAATATGTTTTTATTGATTTATAAAATTTTAATATAATCTTAAAGAAAATTTAAAAAGTTATATTTGAATTTTTATTTTCATGAAGTGAAAAATCACAAGAAATTTACAGATAGAAAATTAAAAATCAAATATATAACATTAATATAATTTATTATTTTAATTATTATTATAAGTATTATTAATTATATAATAAATTAAAATAAGTAATAAATATATTCAAGAATTTTATATATTTAAACTTTATCTATTTTTATACATTCAAAAATTTTATCTTTTTATGCATTTTAAATTTTATTTTTTTTACATTATAAAGATAAAAATTTATAAAATGTTATATTAATATTAAATTTTGTTTGTCGCCAACGGTTTGTAATCTCATAGTTTGAATTAAGGCTTTCGTATTATTAGTTGACCATTGCAAATTATGCCATTTAGCAATTGGCCAAGAGTGAAGCCAATTAATACTCCAAAAAGGAATTCGCTTGTGAACGTATGCATTTGTTGTAGAACATTATTTGTTTTATTGTTTTAAAGATGTATTGTTTAAACGATATTTATTGCGTTGTGGTTTATTTTTGAATAAGTTAACTGGTGCTGTTTTTATAATAAAATATCCGTTTGTTCATCATACACTGCGGACGATCAGATAAACGCGAATTTCTGCGCATTGATTATCATTGGTCACCTTCTGCATATAGGGGAACAATAGTTACGTCATTGATTAAGCCACTGATCAGCGTTAGTATATCAGATCTTATCGCGCAGCACAAAACAGACTGTATAAAAGATGAGCGACGACCTCGAAACTGTGAAGCAAGATATTACGCAGACTAAGGAAGAGATAGACCATATCAAAGGTCTTCCCACCGATAACCCAGAGAGGGCGGCTTTTGCCCCTCTGTATGGTTACCTCACGGAACTACAAAAAAAGGAAAATATTCTGCTGGAAAGAGCTCAACCAGGTAACGACTTTGTGACTCGGGCGTTGGGGACATAGAGTAGTGTGACATAGCAATGTAGTGTGTACATAGTAATAGGTAGAGTAGACATAATAATGTAGCAATTCTTTCTATTTATAAAGATAAAGTCAATATTAGAACGAGAATTGTTCAAGCATTCTGTGATTCAACCGGTGTTGAATGGCCAAGTGAACCAGCGAAACTGAGTTCTGCCCTTCTTGAACCATTTCACGTAAAGATTCCTATTGAAACTGAAGTTCATAAACAATGGAAATCAGAAGCTGGAGTTATTGTTGATGATTATTTTGTTGATGCAGACGTGGAACATTCTACAGCTGGTACATTTGGTGCACGATGTATAGCCGCAATTCCCGAGAAATTAGGTGGTTCGGAAAATCGCTTGATTAGCAAATATGATAATATAATTGCTAATATGTGGGAGATACTAAAGGCAACTCAACCTATTGCTATTGACATTGACCGAAATGTGAGCGATGCTCCAGGATTAACAGTGGAGTCCATGAGACCAGATGTTCTGGTTTGGGTACGAGACACACTCATCTTCAAGGGTGAAGAAAAGAAAGATGGAATTTTTGATGTTGTAAAAAATGAGTTACGGGAAAAGATGCAAGATTGGAATATAGCAACAAGTGGAAACCTTCCCTACCTTTTGTCGTATGGTGCAGTGAGAGAAAAAATTCAATTCTTTGCGATTACTAAAAATGCCAGTTTAGTGGAAATCTCACCTCGATATGATGTATCCAATTTTTCAGGGGCATTCAATGTAAGTAATAATGATTCATATTACTGTTTGAATCGTTATTTTCAGATCTAATCCTATTGTAATTAGTCAAATTTGTAGGTTTTAATATCAGCTCTGAACATGTTTAAATTTTTTCTTACGGCCGCCACATTACTTCCTGATGAAGGATTTCCTTTGATGAAAATTTTAAAGCGAAGTAATGGCACACCTATCTCATTTATTTCATCCACTTATGTCCAGAAACGAATCGATAGATTTGATGAATATCCCTACAGCAGCTTTGACGTTTTACAAAGAGTATATGAAACAGTGCGTCTGTGTGAGTATGCTGCAAGAGCTTATCAAGGTCCAGAATTGTTAGAAAAGAAACGGGATAAAAGGAAACTTGTGTCTTATGTAGTGCATATTGAACCTGTGTGTTTTAGACAGCAGCCGCATGATGTCAGAGAATTGAAAATAGCACTATATCACATATTTCAAGTCCTTGTCATAATCCATAATACAGGTTTTGTACATCGAGATTTGCGATGGGAAAATATTTGGAAAGATAGCAAAGGAAGATACATTGTTGGTGACTGGGAGCATGCTGGCAGGATAAATGAAATACCAACTTTTGTTCTCAATTGGTGGGCACCAGAACTCCATACACTTCCCACACCACCTTATACAGATAAAGCAGATATATTTCTTGTGGGAAGCTTATTAGACACGATGTCTCTATTACTCTCAGCTGAAAAACTAAGACTTCGTTCACAGTTGAAGTTTGACAATCCTGATGAACGTCCCTCTGCTGCAGTTGTTTTGAAACACCAATGGTTTGATGATATAAGAGACGGTTTCTGAGTTTATAACATTCTAATTTATCGGCTATATGCACAATAAATATAAACAAAGTTGCTTTAGTATCAGTCGTGTAACAATCAGAGCACGTGTTCAAAATTTAATAGTAAATTGTGGGGTTAATAACAAATAATAAAAATGAAGATTTTTCAAATCTGTAAAAACTCTTTCTGCCTTTCCAACAAATCTGCAAAATGCCAAAAAAAACTGAAAGGAAGAATACCAACCGTGGTCGCTCTGCATCGCCTATATCTGACAAGTTACCAAAAAAGAAACAAAATACACAATAAACTTTAGACAATAACCTTTCTCTTACGTATGTAATGGAATCAACTACAACTGTCCTTCCAGTAGAAATCAGCACAATGGAAGTTGGCCCAGTCGAGAAAGGTTCGAACAACAACCTCGATAAAGGAAAAAGTCCTGAAATTGTTATTTCAACTTCTGAAACTACTGCACCTAAACCAACTGTTAGTGTTGACGAGTTTTTTGATATGTCAGAAAACATCTTAGATACTTCAACCATCGGCTTTGAAGCTCCTTCAACCCAAATCACCAAATTTTTTGTGTATATTCAAATGGATAAATTCTGTGACTCAAACCCTCAAATGAAAATCTTGATGATCACTGATTTGTGCTATGACAAGTACAACTCATTTATTATCGCTACAAAGGAAAATACCCCATCGATCACAATCAGGCTATTATTAAAGTTGCCTTTTTAGAAAAAATTGAACGTGATGATTTTTGCAATCTAAAATCTTCTGATATGGACAACATCACGTTCTAACCCTTAGATGTTAAAAAATCTGCCCCCTATGTACCTGATCAGTCGATCATAGTCACAGAAATTCCTCTGAACGTCACTGAAATAAGATTACGCAAATCATTTTCCAAATTTGGTAACATCATTTGTTTTACTATGGAAACAAAAACCTTTGGCAAAGAGCCATAATTACCTTTGACGAAAAGATCAATTTTGAAGAATTAAAAAAAGGAGATGAAATTTATCTTCTAAACGATATGATCTGCTATTACTCTTGTAGCCTTTCTAGGCCTAACATTTAAGCCCTCTATGCTTTTTCAGCAAAACTAACTAATCTCCTGAGAAATATTACACCACGTGACCTCTAGGATATTGGAAATATGATCTCTGCTACTGCGTGGATTATCCTCAGAGCCCGTTCTAATTACAATTATCTACAATACGCATTCTTTTATTTTTCTAACAAAGAAGATACTCAGGCAGTTATAGGAATTAAAAACTTAACTCTAAACAACAAAAAATTAGAATGGATTGACCCAAAAGTCAAACTTTGTGCAGTTTGTTCATCTGCATATCATAACGCTTCTTCTTGTTCCAGATGTCATCAATTTTCCAAGGATCGTAACATGCAAAATCTTTATCAAAGATTTCAACCTGCTTAATTCAATAATTACACAGCACCAAAGTGTAGCCTGATATGAGATGCAATTCGTAAAAATATCACCTTTGCTTATGTGACTAAAACCTCACAGCAAATCAATAAGTCTCAGGAAGGCTCTAAAAAGAAATCTTCTCTACCCTCACCACCTAAAGCTAAGAATAATACTTTTTCCAATAGATCTTTCAATAACAAACCAAAATTGCAATGGGCAGATGATCTCATAGATGAGTTCATGGAAACTGAAGTTATCCCTACCCCAAATATCATAAATGGTATTTCAAAAGATGGTTCGATCTATGACCCAGATTTTAAACAATTCGTCATCTCCTAACTCACCTCTATTTCAAACACACTTACTGACCTTTGTATCGAATTTAAGTTTTTACAGCAACGTCTAGCTGTTATTAAAAAAGCCCTTAATATCAAATTTATCATCCCTGCAGAAGTAGAGGATTTTAATACAATTTACCAAAATCTGCTACTGAAGTAGATCAAAATCCCCATTTATTGATATCTATTTTTACACTGCCTATTTGCAAAATCAAACAAATGAATAACTGGTACTTATTTGTCAAAAATAACAATACTTATCAGAGTTTACTCCTATACTTAACAAACTTCTGAAGTCCTATCATGACTTTCAAACCACTCTTTTTAACAAAAATATTCTCAACAAACATGATACATAAGTTTTTGAACCATTAACAAATGATTTTGATAAAGCAATAGAACGTTGCATTAGCAGCCTCCAACTTTAATTTTATTATTATAATAATTACTGTTCCTACCACTAATATCTTAAATACCTCTAGTTCTAATACTTTTTCACTTTTAAATCTTAGAATCGCAATATACAACGTTCATTCATTCAATAACCCTACAAAACAAAATTACCTTTTCTTCCTATATTTAGTTAATCAATTTGACATCATAGGCCTACAAAAAACAAATTTTAAAGGAATCTCATTCATTTTCAACTGAGATTTTCCTGATTATATTACCTTTTTTAGCAATAACCAAAATTCCTGATCAATTGAAACAGGCGTCAGTCTTTCTTTCAGCCCCTTAATAGCTAAACACATCTTCGCTCATGACTCTAATTTAGATAGAATTATTTATGCAAAACTACAATTTGCGAACAAACAAAAATTGATAGTCATCAATTGTTACATCCCACCTGCCAACCCTCCAACTGACATTACAAAACAGTCTGTTAATTTTTTAAAACAATTATTAGATGATATCATTAAAAATAATCTGCATATTATTCTCATCAGAGATTTAAATGCTGACCTAGACCGTGCTGTCAATGGAGCAATTGACCAATCATAATGAAGTTACGTGAATGACGCAATATAACGATCTCATAATCCAGAATTCTGAAAATACTGAAAATTCTGTGAATTCTGAAAATACGGAGGATTTACGTAATTCTAAAGATCTTTCAAATACTGATAATAATCATAATTTTACGAATTAAATGAAGTCTAAGAATAT